TCTCTCTCTCTCTCTGTAATCAGTTCACAATCCACGGTTTGTAGCTTTAAGACCTTCCTCTCGCTGCTTTGGGGCACTAATCACCTCCCATACAGAAACACGCATCATCGGTGCTGATGTGGAAATTCCCTTTCTGCCATTTAAAAGCTCCGCTCTGAGGGCAATGTGAGCTCAACGCGCTGCGGCACACAAATACCAGGTTATGAACACAAATATGTAGGATAGCAGCTTGTGTAAAGAGAGGGACAACAGAAGAGAGCAGTGTTGCATGTTTTTTAAATGGGAAATCTGTTGGGCAGCTGGCGTTTTCAAGGAGCCGAGCACCGTTGAGGAATGCGACTCGACGTGGGGGTCGGACTCCGAGGCGACGACGAGCCGGCCGGCTGGCTGGAGATGACAGGCGGCGTGTCGGGCTCCGTCAGCCCGGCGGACAGCGAGCGGGCCGCCGGAGAGCCCGGGGAGAGGTCCCCGCAGGTACAGTGGAGGGTTATCTGGGCTATGTACAGTATGTGATGACTCAACGGGGGGCAACACAGGGGACACTTTAACATGTGTGCCCCGGCAGCACGTTATTATCGAGGCCAGGACACAGAGAGGGCGACCGAGCATGCTGCTGGGCGAAATATGTCAATTAATACTAAATGGAAAGACATTCACTCACATGGTGTGAACTGTAGGCTTCTTTACGGTGGCTGAGAGGTGCAATCGACAATTACAAAGTGTGAAAACACTTGAGACAAATTTACATTTTATAAAACAAATTTACATTTTATAAAACAAAATTACATTATCAAACACTTTTACCAAAGAAAAACACTATTAACATTAACAAACACAATATTAACAAGATGCGAAACACTTTTACAAAGCTAGAGACAAATTTACAATTGTCGAAACACTTTAACATTTCCCGAAACACTTTAACATTTGCCGAAACATTTGCCGAAAACACTTTAACATTTGCCGAAACACTTAACAAACTAGAGAATCAAACCGGAAAGGGAAATGCCCATCATACCAGAAGTGACGTGCAAGTGATTGACACAAATTTACAACCGCTTAGATATATCACGCCCCTTAGCCTATCACGTGTGTTGGAGATCTAGCAAATAGAAGCGCAACTGTTACATAGTGGTGTCATTATTTTACGGTAATAGACAAAGGAGTCCACTGGAGGGGTTTCAGGCAGAGAGGGAGTGTGTGGGGATTTTAGCCTTTGCAGACCATTTACATGCACACAAAACGCACTACAGGAAATGAAAACCCCAAAAAGCATAATAGGGCCCCTTTAAGTTATTTAATTGTCCTTATGATAATATAAAACAAAAAAGAAGATACATACAATTATATATAAAATACACAAGTGGAAAGAAAAAAACTGAGGGACTTTAAAAAGAACCCAAAATGTTTACAAATAGCTGTATATGCATAATAACTTTACATAAAAAAACGAATACAATTTCCGTACAACAAGGTTAAAAAAAAAGAAGTATATGGGAAAGTTACTTTGGAGTATCGAAGATGGAAGTTAGCGTGGCCCAGATTTAATTTGAGAATCAGATCTAGTTTCTAGCTTCCTTTTGTAGAAATTGTACGGCAGCCCTGATGTGAATTGTCCTCCTTTGCTGACAGAAATGGATGATTGACCTCAAAAGAGAAGTCAGTGCTTTATTCAGCTGAATGCCAGCTGAGTGCTGTACTGCATCTGTTCAAACATGGGATGTTCTTCTTTCAGATGTGCATTTAAACTGAGTCTCTTTCTTTCCTTTGTCAGCTTACAGATTCTCCAGATTCCGTTCCAAAGATGAAGAGGAGTTTCTACGCTGCCAGGGACCTCTACAAATACCGTCACAGCTACCCGGTACATGCACGGGAAAATAAAGACGGGTGGCATACAAACAATTCAAATGTAGAAATGGGATGCACGGTACTTACCTTATTGTTCACACCCAGCTTTGTTCTGTGTGCATTTGCAGAACTACCGAAAGTCACGGCAACCCAATGAGTACCGTAACCTGCGCTTCTACTTGAACAAGATCCCTCTAGTGCCTGATGGTAAGATCAGAAACACACACACACACACACACACACACACACACCCACACACACACACACACACACACACACACACACCACACACACACACACACACACCACACACACACACACACATTAGAAATGTGAGTGGCAGCTAATCAGCCCCTGTTTCTTTGAAGGTATCTACATAGAGGAGATTCTGACCAAGTGGAGAGGCGACTATGACAAACTGGAGCACAATCACACCTACATTCAGTGGTGAGACTTTTCATCCGTCTATTTTTCATATTTTTATTTTCTTGGACCTTATATATGATTGCAAAAACTGTTAGGAAGTGTGCATTGTTATTTGGGTTTTTGCATTATATGCCATAGTAGCTGACAAGTCAAACCTGCCTTTTGCTGTGCGTTAAATTAATGTCAGCTGACTCGTTTTTTTAATTAAAAAAGACTGAAGCTGTCTCAGGCGATAACATAGCATCCTCCCAGTTGATGATGCACATAAAGAACAGTGTTGATGCTCGTAAGTGCTAGCATAGAGTTTGCAGTGATGATGTATTTGTGGTTAGCATCACAAGGCTCCCTCAACAAAACCATTGGGATTTTCCATTGGATTTTGGAATATTGGAGAAACTAAAACATGTTTAGTAAATCTTTATGATACTTACACTCATTATTCAGGACGATAATCTCCACAAAGTAAATCCGGACTTAACATTTTCCCTTTTAGCAAAAACTATTCAATATATAATGTGTGTTTTTTATCACTTCCAGAAATCTTTTTTCATATTTGTATTCCGTTTTGCTTGTGGCAGGCTGTTTCCATTGAGAGAACAAGGGGCTCAACTTCTACGCACATGAACTGACTCAGGAAGAGATCAAAGTAAGCAAGGAAGGACAGTGCTGTATATACACATACAGCTGTTTGCACTCTATCATTGGAAGTCATATTTTCCATTCATCCAATACATTTAAAACATTCTTTTAATATAGGATGAACCTTGGTGCATTTTAGTTGTGATATTGTACCTGTGTGCAGGCCTCTGACCTGCTGTGTTTATATCCCGTCAGGAGTTCCAAGCACTCGGGAAGCCAAGCGGAGGTTCCTGGCAGCGTATTCCCTCATGCTGGATCTTCTACGGCATCAAACTGCTGGATAAGAGTGGGAATGTTGCTCGGGGCTCCCCAACTGGAAGGAGCGCTTCCAGCACCTTAATGAGTAAGCACACACACTCATTACAGATAAACACAGTTTTCCATGCCCGTCAGAATGTGTGTGAACATCCCATTGCCCATAATGAGAGGGGAGACACAGTTTATATCTCATTCCCTCGCTCCTTGCACTATTATCTTTGATGTCAAATGTAATCTATTGCTGATCAAAGGTTGCATTGTAACAGGAATTATTCGTAGGAGACATTTCCCCTCATCCTGCGTTGTTTTTCAGGTCCCAGCACAACTACCTGCGGATCACTCGCATCCTCAAGTCCCTGGGCGAGCTGGGCTACGAGGCGTTCAAGGCCCCCCTGGTTCACCTGTTCCTGGAGGAGTCTCTGAGCCACAACACTCTTCCCAGCATGCAGCACAGCGTCCTGGAGTACTTCGTGTACACCATCCGTCTGCCGGCCACCCGCAGGCGCCTGCTCCGCTACGCCCGCAAGCACTACCGCCCCCCCCCACGGCTTTATGTGGGGGCCGCCGCCTAAAAAGAGAGGCGGGGGAGGGAGCACGGGGGCCGGGAGCAGCGGGATCAGAGCGCCCGCTCCCACGCCAGAGCAACAGAGGAGGGGGGAGGAGATGTCCCCGTCAGCAGGGAGCAGGATTATTGTGTCTTCCCATGATGCCGTGGTGTACCAGGAGGGGGCCGGGGGGGGGGCTGAAGGGCGGCCCCTCTAACATGGCCGGACTAGAGGGGGCGCTGATGATGGCGGGGGCCCGAGGGGAGAGGAACGAGTACAATGACATCGTTCCTCTGTAGGTCTGATTGGTAGCTGTCTTTAAAATGACCCGCTTCAGTTGTTAGGTAGGGGAGAGAATTTCATTTTTAACGCCAGAATGTTTTTATTAGCAGTAGATATTACGCTTCTGGACTTAAAATGAAGACGGTATTAGTGAACACATTCACAGAGTCTGACGAAGGTGTTATTAGAATACATTCAGGTTAAGGGCTTATCATAAACTATTGTCATGTCTTCACAGATACATCTATTCAAGTGTTCTAAATATGGGGGTGGGGACTGATATGTTAGTGGATGGGGGAACAATCCCAGAACCTTCCAAACCAGTAGAGCGGCACGATCTGAGAAAAATGACTAGTGAACATTTCAACAGATTTATTTGAGAAGATCTGGATCTAACAAGGACTTTGTAGTATACCGTCTGCTGCTGCTTAAACTTCATTCAGATATTTTAGCATATTTTGACTTTATTATGTATGTTATTCCATTTGTTGTTAATTGTGCTGCCCAGTAGACACCCACATGATTGTCCTGAGGCTTTTTCTAACCAGGACTGTGATTACATTACATTGGACAGAATGTTGCCTTATTGAATATCTTTGGTTTTCATGGTTTGGTCTTTCGATGGTTTTGGGTCAGTCTCCTCCTGACACACTGTAGCTAGAGCTCCACAGCAACAAGCTGGACTGAGGACAACTATAATGTGAGAAAGGAGATCAGGTTGAATTTGTTGAATTTGTTGCCCCGATCGTGTGAAAGGACATGAGGGAAGGGAGAGTGATAGCAATACTTTAAAAAACATAATGTTTCGACTTGAAAACCTTTGTTGTTGATAATATCAGGCACAATTTAATATTTATCTACTCTGAAACTTTATTATACTGTCATCACTGACAGGTAGCCCCCCACTGAAAGCTGTACATAACTATTGATCAACAGACTTGTTAGTGACTAACCCTAACCCTAACCTAGCAGAAGGGTTTCCAAAAAGCAAATCAGTAGGGAAAAGCAGCAGAACTTTACAAAGCTTTTACACAAGAGCAGGAAGCCTCCCAAAATAGCTGCTGTCACTTTAAGAGCTCTTTATTTTTGCAGCAGGTGCTGTGTTCTTACAGGTCATGTGATCTTACAGGTCATGTGATCTTACAGGTATTGTGTGGTGTGTTGCACTTTTTGGACAATCTGTGTCTTCCTTTTGAAAGGGTTTCTCTATACGGTTGATTTATGTGCGATCAATAACGGTGAGGAACTTGCCACATTATGAACATGGCTGATTGTTCTCATATTGACTCACCGCGCAATAATTAGGCTGTAATCCTTCATTTTTTAATATATTAAAAAATAGGACATGGTTATGCGGTTGACTTTATCCATGTGAATATGACTTTGAGTCATATGTTTTACAAAACGTCCCACCAAAGTAGTATTTCTTTTAAGGAAGTATTATATGAAAGTGCAGGAAAGGATGCACACTACAGGTCAATAGGGTTTAGATTAGAACTATTATATTGCCTTTCATAAAAATGACCCAGTTAATTACTTACATTAGCACAATTATTTGTTGTATTAAAATGTTCCTGTGATGATATGTTTAAATCTACAAATGAACCATTTTGAGGCTACATTTTTGAGAATTTAAGAAAAATCTACAAAAAATTGAAAAAACTAGTAAAATGATTATCTAAATGTGTATTTTTATTTTTCATTTTCCTTGAAATAAGAGATTATATACAAGCATAATCGGCAAAAATCTCAAAATTGCATGGAAAACAATATGTAGTGTCTCGACTGTTGAAACTCGTAATAAATTAACACTCCACTGCGGCAGAATTGACACCCCCCAAGATGTTGCTAAGATACATAACACCACCTCCATCATGTGAGAGGATAGCAGGTCTAATTTAAACAGACTTCCTGTTAACTTGGATAAGAAAAAGCCATGCGAGGTGTCAGACAGCAGCGATGCATTTTATCGTGGTTCAAACGTTCCTCGTTCTTCCTGCCGGTTGAGCCTTCATCATCATCATCCTCATCATCATCATGATCAGCTCATAAGGTCTAACATTGCTCCAGCCAAGAGTATCTGATATAATTGTAAAAATAACTTCAGGTGAATTGTGGGAAAACATGGGCTCAAGTGTCTGGATTTTTTGTGTGTGTACATGTGTGTGTGTACGTGTGTGTGTGTGTGTGTGTGTGTGTGTGTGTGTGTGTGTGTGTGTGTGTGTGTGTGTGTGTGTGTGTGTGTGTTGTGTGTGGTGTGTGTGTGTGTGTGTGTGTGTGTTTGTGTGTGTGTGTGTGTGTGTGTGTGTGTGTGTGTGTGTGTGTGTGTGTGGTGAGCTATTCTTAAGTGTCTATTTTGTATTTGTTATGTTTTATGCAGTGTCTTTCCCAACCTGATTTCCTGTACATCCTGTTTTTGTACAGCATTTGATATTGACATTATTGTTTGCATTATAGTCATATACAGTATGAATATTGATGTACAGTAACAGCAGGAATCCATCTAGGAATTGGTATAGAGCAGAGGTTAATAATATATGATACTTGAAATGGTTGAACTGGCCTACTGATGAAATTGTGATTGTTCTATACATGAATATTCTCTGCTTGCTGGACATAACTGGACATTTGCCCGAACAATGTGAAATTGCCACACTTACTCAAATAAAAATGGGGAACGTGAAATAAGAATTGTGTCATCTGTAATTGTTTAACCTCTTAAGCACGGCGGTCCCCCCATTGGACTGTTGATCCATAGGTTGATAATGTACCTGTACATTTAAAAAAATTATTTATAATCCATAATTCCATTTTTTATGTAAAAATCGGAGCGGAAAAGTTAGCTGCTAATAGTAGCCACCAGAGTGTATGCAGCTTCCGGTTTTGGTAACGCGTCACTCTCACTCCTTATTTGTTAACGTTTTGGTGTTGTTAACGTTTCCCTCGATTCCATTGGCTCTAGCGGTTATAAAGAGATTTCATTCATCAAAATCGACCAAGGGGGGCCAGAGATAGGTCAAATCCACCCAAATGACCCCAGAAGTGGGGTTTTTTGGCTAAATCTCTCTAAAAAGGTCAAATTTCACTTGTTTTGCATCAATCTTGATACAGGGTACTTATTATATGTTGTACTTTGGATTCCTAAAGCTTTTAGTCTACTAACCCATCATCCAAGGGTAGTTTTCACTATAAGTAAAAAAATAATCTTTGGATAATTTACAGTTTTTTACTATGTAAAATCTGAATTTTCTTTAAAATAAAAAACATCTATATTGATTCTGACTTTTCTACATCCAACTCACAGGTTTATCATTACTTTGAGAATAAAGATAATTAATTTAACCCTTTTAGAAGGGAAGATATGGTCATTTGTTCTGGGAATGTCATTTTCGAGCCTGAGACCTGAAAAACAGGCTCAGGGCTTAAGAGGTTAAAGAACGTGAGCACTGTGTATATCACTGTACATTTGATTTGAAAGTGGATAAGCAGATATCTATCAGATGCAGAGTTGTTCTGAAAGCAGGAATAATCCCAAAGGTTGAGGTAAAACTCCGTGGTTAGGGCCAAAGAACCTCATAAAGAACACATCATCCTAGCATAAATTTAAGAGAAAAGTACATGGCATTTTTCTGTGTGTATGTATTGCAAAAATATTGAAAATAGTAAAATAATGCAGGGAGGGGAGCAATCGAGAGCTCTCTGAAATACAAATAATTACGAGGTTGTTGCTAAAAAAGATAATAAAAAGCTGTTTATAATTATAACAATCTATATTGTCGACCAATATGGATATTTCATATTGGATTAATAGATTGGTTAAAAAAACACCATAGTAATTTACATAACATTGAATAAATAAGACAAAATGCTGATTGGTTTCAGTGTATATGGTAGGAAGATTCACTTTGTTAATGTTCCTGGTCATGTTGTATGTTCTGAGGCTGAATAACTCTATCAATTCAGGATAACTTAACCCTTAGATGCACGAGTGACTGGACCCTACACTCTTCCATAAGTGGGTCAAAAAGGAGCCGTATTAGAATAATATGTGTTTTTATGCCATTTTTGTGATTTTGGTTAAGAAAAATCTCTTGTATAATATTTAGTATTATATTTTGGTTCACACTAGAAATATTTAATATTTAATTTTTCACTATTTACATTTTGAAAAAAAACGTTTTCCCATAGGATTCCATAGAAAATGCATGCGGGTCATTTTTGACCCACTTATGGAAGCTTGGGGTAGTAATACAAAAACTACAATTTCTTAAAATGTAAATTAAAAATTTGAATGGCATGATATCCAAAACATGTTTTTTGAGGAATAACTGGAATATGAAATGATAAAAAAAATGTAATTACAAAGATACTTCAAGAAAACCACCTCACCGGGTCAAAAAAGACCCACTTATGGAAGCTTGGGGTAGTATTATTATTCAAATATTTTTATTGATTTTCCACATATAAACAGCAGCACTCAACATTAAAAAATACAGCACACACAGAAAGTATACAAAATATCAATTGGCATCGAGAAGAGATACAAAATATGTATATAGAAAGTAAACATACACATAAATTAAGCTTGGGGTAGTAATACAAAAACTACAATTTCTTAAAATGTATAAAATGAACATTTTAAATTAGAATGGCATGATATCCAAAACATGTTTTTGAGGAATAGCTGGAATATGAAATGATAAAAAAATGCAGAAACGCAGATTTTGGGTCCTTAGCTTTTTTTTAAAAAGGGAGAGCTAATGCCTGCTCAGAATTACCCGGCACATACAGTTAAATTCTGCCGTGATTAAATGCCATCATGTTCCAAACCACATCAAGGATTATTTCTGAAACAGTATGGAGCTCAAATGCTTTTTCTCTTGAGGGTTTACTACAAGGTGAGGTCCTTTTTTTATTTCCTGCTTTTTTACACACACTCTCCAGTTGAAAAGGTTAGCTCTGAGTGTTAGCGATGCTTGCTAATGGTTAATATGGTTAACAAAGACCATATTACGTCCAAAACAGTTGTGCATTGTTTCTGATAGCAACGTTTCTGATAGTGCCGTGGGTCCACATTTCCGATATTACGTCATATCGGACTCAAATCTGGGTCAGCTCCGTTGTACCCCCGTTTTTAGAGATTTGGGTTCGGAGGAAAAGAGAGAGGGTTTTGCTTTCTGACACTTTGTGAGTTCCCTGACACACCCGGGACACATCTTTATGTATAAAAGACATCAAAAAGTGCATTTTGCATGATAGGACACCTTTAAGGTACAGTATAACATGGCTGATGGTGTCTCAAAGCCTTTTTATCAGATTGAATTGCTGTGTACAATTAAAAGACAGGCACATAACAAGTGTGTTCCTGTTATAACAGGGAACATCTCAAGGTACGTGTCAAAAACATTCAACACCATAACAGATATTGATAAGTGAAAGAGTGTTGTTTCTGTAGGTTTGAAAGTTTATTATCTAGTATGTGTTTCTTTGCAACTTTTAAATGCCGACACAGATAAAGATTTATGTCTTCCAAACAATATTGGTGTTCACAAATTGGTAGGGATTTAGAGGAACATGACATTTCACTATGG